TAGCACTGTTTAAAAAAATTCCAAAAATAACACCCTTTTCCCAAAAACCGCCACCCGAACCAGCGGTTTTTGATGAAAACCGCAGGTTTAGGGGGCGGTTTTCATGACTGGCTGGGGTCGGACTGGCTGGTCTCTTTTTCTTAAAAAAAAATCCTAACCTAGGTGAAAACTTCAAACGAACGTATCTTTGTGTTCGGGTATCCGATCGTCGCGATTTTTTTTATTCCGCATAACTTTTCGAGATCTTTAAGGCCACAAACACCGTAGACGGTTTGGTCTCGCCTCCGTCCAGAAAAAATGTCATTTGCTACTCCGAACGAGCCTTTTTTTTATTTTGTCAAAATTTGGACGGTCATAACTTTGTGCTCCAAAATCCGAACGTTATGAATTTTTTTTTCATTTCGCATAACTTTTTAAGGACTACAACTTTTATCATAGGCATAATTTCGAAATGTATGTGGATTTGTGAAAAGGGAAGGTAAGTTATTCCCAAAACCCTATATATCTAAAAATAATTCCTGTTTTGAAAATTCATTCCTAGTAAAAATTGTAGTCCGTTAAAAGTTATGCGAAATGAAAAAAAATTCATAACGTTCGGATTTTGGAGCACAAAGTTATGGTTGTTTAAATTTATTGATGATGTTGATATGACTTGAATCAGATTATCAGCCGCTACGACTGGTAATCGGGGGTCCCACGGTGTATGGGCTCAATGTTATTTGGGTTCGGGTTCTGGGCCTGGTCTGTAACCGTTTCCTTTGGCAGATTGGATTAGGTTTAGACCCACATGGAGAAGTACTATAAATACTTCTCATACTCCTCTGTAATCTGTAATCTCCTCGATATAGTGAAACTGGCTCTCTCTCGCCCGTGGACGTAGCTAACACACATCGTGTTAGTGAACCACGTAAATCGTGTGTCGTGTTTTCGATTCTCGCTTTCGTATTCTTGCTTTGTCGATTCCGACGATTTCCCGATCCGTAGTAGCGCGTTTATAACAGATGATTTTTAGCGTTCAGTGAGTAAAACTTTGTCAATATATTATTGTTTCAAGAGAAGAGTTTTAGTTGAGTGGTGTAGATGTTGTGCCAAATTTAGTAAACTATTTATTATCTGGGTTCGAACCACCACTCCCACAATTTGTGGCTTTTTTTAATCTCTACTAAATAAATAAAAATTCAAATGGGATGGTGGGAATTCGTGTAACATCCCGAACCTTTTTCCGACGATGATATTGTCTGCTTTGGGCCTTGACCCTCACGGTTTTCGACTTGGGATGCAATTCAAGGTGACTTCCCATAAGGTCACCCATCCTTGGTGTACTCCACACTGAGCACGTTTAATTTCGGAGTTCTCACAAGAACTCTCCTCCATTACACCCAAAAACGCGTCTTGTTAGTTAAGGTCGGTTTCCTACTTATGAACCTTGGATATCTCCCGTGCTTTATCGATGTTGGATTTGGCTAAGGTGTTACATATGCAACATCCCGAACCTTTTCCCGACGAAGATATTTTCCGCTTTAGGCCTCGACCCTCACAGTTTTCGACATGGGGTGCAATTCAAGGTGACTTCCCATAAGGTCACCCATCCTTGGTGTACTCCACACTGAGCACGTTTAATTTCGGAGTTCTCACAAGAACTCCTCCATTACACCCCAAAACGCGTCTTGTCATTTAAGGTCGGTTTCTCAATGACAATGAAGGATGACAAATATAGATGGAGGTCTTTTGTTGAAAGAAGAAGGAGCAGAGAAGTAAAAATAAAATAGAAAAAATAATAAAATAATTTTATACTAATTTGATGTGACCTACATGTGGTGTGACATGTCGATTCAGATAAAACGTGGGAGATGAAGTAGCGTATACCTCAACTTGGTGTGACTGGCTCGACGGTTTGCTGAGGGTTACAAGCCACTACAGTCAATCTCAATCTTGGATGGTTTGGATTGAGGGAAAGTAGGCGAATGAGTTGTTGTTTGGTAATTGATTGTGACGATTAGAAAGGAAAATTATCAAGAAAGATACCACAAAAATTTGAAGAGAAAGGAATATTTGCCCATGCGTATGAGGCTAGCCGGGCTTAGATATAGAATGATTTTAGGTTGATTGTTTGGGGATATTAATGTATGCCCTCTCTAACAACGTTACCACTATTTATATTGGCAAATTAGGTTAAATATCATTAATGTTATGCCTCGGCACATCAGGTCATTCTCGGGCGCTCTGAGTGCATTTAATAATGATTCAGATGCATGTATAATTATGATACTTTGTTTGTTCTTTTAAGTGGTCCTAATCTACGTTATTACTTAAAATATCTGAGCATTAGTCTGACGAACCATACTGACATGTGGCCCTGCAATTTATTTGTTTCTTTTCTCCAATATGAACAACAATCTCATTGGTATTATTTTTAAGCGTGTCCTTCCCAGATCTAGGTGTATGTTGAGCCTTATTTAAGTAGTGGGGCCAGGAGTGAGCAGTTGGAATTTTTTGCATGACCTGGTTTATTGGATTACTGGTCTATTCAGGCTTTTACTTAACGGGTCTAATAAGAAGTATACTTTGTGTTATTAACAATATTTAAAAAACCCTATTGTATCGGCCGACCGGATTGGAAATATCGAATACCTGACCCAAACCAGTTGGTGATTTTAGCGGTACAAAATAGTTGAACTATGGTTAAACTACGATTTCAGTACGAAATACCTTATCATTAAATTTTTCGGTATAACCTCCGCTATCTTTGGCTATTCGGTATAACCTTCGCTATGAAAATTTAGTTTTTTATTAGGTAGGTAAAGTCGAGTAATTAGTGCATTTATTGAGTGTCTTTTATATTGATGTTAGGAATGTGTAGAGCTTTATTTATCTAAATGTGAATAGCAATGTGATTTAATATTTTTTTCATTTCTATTAAAATTATTTACATATTCTTTAATAACAAGTAATTCTTTATCCACACAATTTGATGGACATGTGTTAGTGCTCCTACTTCAGAGCACAAAAATACAAACTTGGAGGAATTAATTAAAAAAATACTCGCTAATTAATAAATGTGTCCGAAAGACATTGAATAATTGACGATAATACATAATCTCTGTAGGGCTCAAATTAGCAGACACATTATTTGCCAATCACCAACGATCGAGTAAGACTATGTAGAATTCAGGCTCTTTACTTGTGATGTGAACTAGCGAATTAAGAGCTCATGACTAGATTGGAAGAGATAGTCAATTAGATAATTCATGTGGCTATTGATTTAGGGATTATTTTGAATGACACACAGATTATTTGTATTAGAATCTTGAAATTTTGTAGATGATACCCTTTTGGTGTAAGATAACGAAGAATTGACAGTTGATGGCTAGAAAAAAATGTGACGATGATAAAAAACAATAAGACCATGGGGTGGAGTACTAGGGTGTCATTTGGGAAAATTTTAGGGGTTGATAAAAAACGTGGACTTTTATTTTATAAAATTTAAAATACAAAGTGAATTTATATAGTTTTATGTATAAAATTGATAATCAATTGTTCAAATGGGCTATTAAATTTTTTTTTTTTTTGTTTTTTTATCTAGATGTATATATTTGTCTAAAATTTGATAGTATATTTAATAATTTATAAATACAATAATGTATTTATGCTTTATTACTGTATTAATATCATTGTTATAAGAACCTAATCAGATCAATGGCTGGACCAGTTGAACCACCACGGTTTAACTGGTTCACTATTTTAACCAGGGTTCAAGAAGGCGCGCCTAAGCGCACGCCTAGGCGCACTTAGGCGCTAGGCGGTGGAGGATCGCCTTGACTTGGCCATAGGCGTTGTAAAAGGCGTTGGTAGCGGTTAGTAGGTAGGAATAGCGCTTAGTTTGCGCCTAGTGGAGAGAAGACGTGCCTGGGCGTTCCTGGGCGAGCTTAGGCGGTTAAACACAATACTCTTCTTTTTGTCCTAGAAAATCAGAAAATTGCCTCTTGCCCTAGAAAATCAGAAACACGGGAAGGGGATGACCATGCTATGTATGTATTGTAGATGAGGATGAGGAATCATATTGTGCACCCTCGAGTACCGTTACAGATGCAATGGCGGGTGAACAGAGTGAGCTTCGCAGGAGTGCACGAGTGAGAGAGCTCCATGATGAAGAATTAGAGTCTGAAGAGGAGGAAGAGGAGGAGGATGGTGAGGAGATTGCTTTTGAGGATGATGAAGATGAAGTGGTTGCTGGATGGACCTACTTGGATGATGAAGAATGAACATTTTCCTATGAACTTATTGACTATTGTTTAGTATTTCGACATTTTATGAAATTGTGATTCTAAGAAGTGGTCACTATTTGCTTGTTATTTGTTATGTTAAGTGTTTACTGTTAAGAACTAGGCATTGCTAATTTTATATGCACTTGGATTATATGAATTATTCCAGAAAACAGAAAATATTTGAGAACTTTTTCCATTTATGCTCTGAACGGCTAGGCGCGCCTAGGCTACGCCTAATCAGGCAAGGCGCAAGTCAGGAGCCTAGCGTCTGCCTTACGCCTAGCGCCTTTTAGAACCTTGATTTTAACCCACCAAAATTAAAAAAAAAATTGTAATATAAACTAAGACCATTAAACCATGATTATTAACTTTATATATGTTTCTTATTTTCATTTATCAAAGTTGTTGTCGACTTCATGTTGTTCACTATCTACTCACACTGTAATTTTTATTTTGAATTCAAAATTTTATAGTATTTTTTGTTGAACAGTTTGAATGATTTATTAAATATTTTAGTGATGATATGAATTTGAAATTTTATGGTTAATAATAATTTCATTGTTTTTTCAATCCGACCAACCGGCAGGACGAAAAGCTAGCATATATATACAAGCAAAAAATCTCTAACAATGCTTTCCTAGGACCTTACTAGCAGAGTAGCACTAGCAGTTGCCCTTCTCTGAGAAACTACCAACTTCCATCCGTCTTTCTTTCACCGATCTGATTCCCAAAAGTCTAAAACTTAGGCATTTCTATCACCGCCGGAGATGCTTCCTCGACTGGGTCACTTGAACCCACAGATCGCCACCTGCAGCTCGTCGACCTCCACCATTGATGGCTTAAACCGTGTTCCGCCGGGAACGTCAGAGCCCGACTCGGAGTCGGACCACCGGGTTTCCCCGACCCGGAACCCATATCTTCCCCCGCCAAACTCCCACTCTCCTCTTCATCCACGTCATGAACACGCGCCATCTTCCCCCCATACCGCTTCAGCCGGATCAGGAATATTATCAAACACATGGTGGACGTTCCAGCTGATATGCTGAACAGACCCACAAAGCTGTGTAGCGTCAACTTGTCGCTCGTCGGACACTCCGTTACCGGACCGAACCACTCCTCTTCCAATTTCCTCAACGTGCCGTCCTCCGACAAATTCAGAATTGCCTCTGAGAAATCCCTCGCGATCGGGGAACCCTTCTGGAACGCCTGCGAACAACGAAATCAAAATTAGGTTTCCCACATGAACAGTTTCCGGCAAAGTATATGATTGATCGAAATCAAATTTAAAAAGCTTACGAATCCGAATCCGCCAAATCGGTTGCTTGCTCTGGTGGTGGTATACTCGCCGCAGTGCTTGTTGATGAAGATCGTCTCGTAGGGGATTTCGAGGAACGCGGCGGCGATCTCCTTGGTCTCGAACGCCGTCGTGTACTGCGATTCGTTGTCGAAGATCCGAATTCTGTCAGGCTGGAAGTCGAGCACCGTCTGGAGGTAGTTCTTGACGAAGGAATCGTTGTCGCAGCCGACGTAGAGCTTGTTCTGCTTCAGGATCTCGAAATCGGGGCCCAGCCTCTTGACGGTGAGCATGGAGGTCAAGCTTGCGGTGTAGCTCTGCGTCAGGATGAACACCACGCAGAACCACACCACCACCGCCACTCTTGTAATGTTGTTGTTGATCTTCTCCTCTGAAAAGAAAGCCCAAAAAATCAGCATCAATCGCCATTCCTCGTATAAAATAAAACAATGTTGGGAACATTTGATTGGTAGCTTGACGGCTTACTCTGAACGAAGAAGAGAGAGCAGAAGATGAACCAAAGAGCCGTGCCCAATTGAGCATTCCATGGGCCTTGGAATTCAGGGTTGGAGTTGTGCTCCATGAACCAAACCACCACTATGGTATAGGCGAGAAGGGCAAGGCACATCGTCCACATCTTGAAATCGAAAGGCTTGGTGAACATCCACGCAGAGTCGTCGGGTGACGATGGCACGATCGTCGACAATCCAGACTCTGTAAACGGCTGCGTAAAATCCACGTATTTGTATCTATCGGCCAAGATCGCTATATCTCCAACCGCCGCATCATATGTCTAACATAAAAATCACACTAGTCTAGTCTAGTCATATATGATAGTGGAAATTCAACTAGTAATGGAATGGATGGGACAGTTTTGAGTTTTACCTGATTGTAAACTCCCTGAATCAAGTCGTCGTAGGGCCCGTCGTAGCAGAAGTACTCGTGCGGCAGCGCGTAGTTCAGCTGCCGGAGCACTTTATCGAACAGGGAGATGCAGTAGCCTTCGGGCCTTTTCTTCCCGTCCGGCCACGACGCGAACTTCTCGAACGACGTTCGCTTGGGGATCACAATCCTCAACGGCTTCCAATCGGTGGGCATTGCCCAGCCCGTAGGGGGCCGATCAACCAAATCCCCCGGCCACATCACCGTACTCGACAACCCGTTTTCCTCCTCCGTGACATGAACATTCCGGGTCTTGGAAAACCCGAAACCCGGCAGCCAGAAATCCAGCTCTCTGTAACTTCTGCCCACGACGTTAACAACCCTCAACAAGGCCGGACAAGGCTCTTCGCCGGCGGTGAGGCATATTTCCCCGCTCAGCCCGGTGAAATTCTCTGACAGCATAATTTTTTCCCCTGTTTTTCTTTTCTCCACCGCCTCTGCTATGGCCCTGATCCCATCGTAAGCTCTCAAAGCGTGAATACCAGGAACCAAATTGTCTTCCTCTGGATATTCTGACCTGAATTTCCCCCTAAATTGGGATTTGAAATTTTCATAATCACCACCGTCATTAGGGAAATCTCTCTTGATTCCTAGAGTTCCTTCCATGGAGGAAATAACAGAGTCTTCAACGGAGTCCAGAAGGCTTGTTATCCCTTCCGTGACAATCCAAGCTGAATCTCTTCCCGAAAGTCCCACGCTCTTAGCTTCCCTGAAAATGTCAATTGCCATGGGAAGAGAAGCTTGGAGACAATGGCGGACCCAGGATCGTTGAAGAGGGGTGTCGCCGATAAAAAATTATATTAAATAAAATAATTAAATAAAAATAAAAGTTGAATAGAAATTACTGAAAATTCTTTTATAAGTTAACAACGTCGTGTTTACTACGAATTATGACGATTTTTCATATCCTGAATTTTTTTTTAAATACATTCATCGCTTATATTGCAAATCAAACATTTTTCGATATACACAACTACATAATCATTCATAAATTAGTCACTCAACTAAAGGGAATCGACTCACGTCTAAAATAAAACTTAAAATAAAATAGTTTATAATCAAATATAGTAAACCACGATCTACCAATTGGCAATTTTAGACAAAACAAAGTATGCCTAAAGTAATATCATTAACATTTTTCCTCTAGTTCTACCAATTTAACCAAAATCAAACCACAATCTCCCATAAATCTACCCATTTCACCTATTAACTACAAATTGACAAGTTAAATTGGGTTGTGGGTTACTTAAAACAATCATGCTTATTTGATTTTACTTATTATTGTTAATGACTAATTATGATGAATAACTTTATAGGGACCTCCTACAGTAACTTGGGTATAATTTCAAGTTATGTAACTTGTATAGATCTAAACCGTTAAAATCGATCAAACTTATTTTAAACCATTGATTAAAGAAATAAAAAAATAAAAAATAAGAAAAAAATAATTGGCAATAGGGGGTTGCCGGTCACCACCCACTTAACTTACCTTTCTTTGTTTTTTTCTTTCCTTTTTCACATTTATTTGCTTTCCTTATTTTATCCTTTCCTTATTTTAATTAGAAGCGTTACGTAAGACTTCCGTAATAACTTAGCACTTTACGTAACGTGAGGTTAATACTCATTACGTAAAGAGACCTTCCTTTACGTAAAGGTTACGGAATGATAGTTATTTCTTACGTAACAGTGAAATCGGAAGCGTTACGTAAAGTTTCCGTAATGACTTAGCTCTTTACGTAACACAACATTAATACTCGTTACGTAAAGAGACCTTCCATTACGTAAGGCTTCTGTAATGACATTTTACAACTGTTACGTAAAATACACATTCATTACGTAAAGGTTACGAAATGATAGTTATTTCTTACGTAACAATTAAATCGGAAGTGTTACGTAAGGTTTACGTAATGACTAAACACTTTACGTAACGTGAGGTTAATACTCATTACGTAAAATGACCTTCCATTACGTAAATGTTACGTAACGACAGCTATTTCTTACGTAACAGTTAAATCAGTAGCGTTACGTAAGGCTTCCGTAATGACTTAACATTTTACGTAACGCAAGGTTAATACTCATTACGTAAAGACACATTCTATTACGTAAGGCTTCCGTAATGATCTTTTACAACTGTTACGTAAGATTACCATATGTTACGTAACCATTATGTAATGCCTATTGTATCTTACGTAATGCGACCTGTGAAACCTGCTATCGCAGGTAAAAAAATTCAAGTTACCTTACTTCAAGTTATTGTAGGAAATCCCTAACTTTATAACACTAAAACTATTATCGTATAATGAAGGTGTGTCGCTTATACTTATTGGAGCGGTGTCGGAAGTCTCAAATTAAAATTTTTTGTACCGAAAAAATATAGGTCATTCACAAAATTTTCGGGCGGAGGGGTGTCGGACGACACCCCTTCCATAGACCTAGGTCCGCCCCTGCTTGGAGAACTATGAAGACCCGACTCTGTTTCCTGAATAATCCTATTAGTTCATCCCGTACCAGTTCTTTCGATCCGTTGACTAAAGAGTTATAAGGCGGGAAAATTAATCGGTGCTCAATCTCCGAATCAGATTTTTGCAGCGCTTCGGATAACAAATCAAGTTTCCCCGAATTCCCACCATACGCATCGTCTTCGTAAATCACTACAACCCTTTTCCAACTATAGAAGCGAACCAGAGCTGCGATGCACTGAATCTCTTCAGAGCCGTTACTGCCCGCCAAATTAATCAAAAACGGCCAGCGCAATTGCTTTAGCGGCGCCGAAATTGACGACGGAGAGAGTGCAAGCACCGGAATTTGAGCCCGGCTTCCGACTTCGCCAACCATCGCCGATTCGGCCCATGTGTGCATCCCAACAATTGCCTCCACCTTCTGTGTTTTAATCAACCCTTCAGCTGTACAAAATTGCAATTAATTAGCGTAATTACCGATATTAAAAAAAAGCTAATTACAAGATGTGATAGACATTTACCGGCGTAAGCAGCTTTGAGAGGGTCGCTCTGAGGATCCCGGAAGTAAACAGAGAAATTGTGGCGGGTATTCGAGGACTTGGTGTTGAAATTGTGGAGAGCTATTTCAATGCCGGTTTTCGCTTCTCTACCAACGCGAGAACCCACATCGAGGATCGCTCCGATTCCAACTGCAGTTCGGCTGTTACTGGATCCTCCGGCGGTTCCACGACAAAGAAATAGATAGAAGACAGCGATTAGAGCGAGAGAAGCCAAATTTAGCAGGTTCATTTTGTGTGCTTTAACTAAGGATTAAGTTTGTATTAGTAGCTTCCTTAAGCTCAGCATATAAATAGACGTAAATCCGCGTCGTGGGAATTTGAAGATTCTCGCGAACTTGATATTTACTGTTGCAGTGTTGCTTGCGGCCCAAAATTTCTTCTGGGTTGAACGAGTTTAATCCTCTGAGAAGAAGAAAAGTCAGTCGAGGAAGAAGACGGACGAATTTTCCCCCAATTTTTACTTGGGATTGGAATTTGGGAATGAGAGGGTCAAAACTCAAAACTGAAGCGGTCACACATGCCTGATTTCACTTGGGCCGAGGTATGCAAAGAGAAGCACTTATCCACACGGGAGTTTTAGTCCTATGGGCTTTTGATCAGTTGTAGGCTCATTATGGGTGGACCAGGCTGGAAAGTCGTAGACCGCTGAAGTCTTCTCGTAAGTCGTAGGCCCATTCTGTTTTTCTTTTTTCTTTTGCAAAGTCAAAGAGTTGATCAAACCGTCACATAGAAGAAACAAGAAAAGCGTGATAGTAGATCAATAGTCAAATTCCCGATAAGAGCGTCTTTTCTGATATAAGATGGGCAGCCCTATTAACAACGAGGAGCAAAACAATAGGATACAAGGTAGAAATGAGTAGCCACCGACCGAACATCCTCCAAAATAGCTCCTCCAAGATCACGAGCCAGATCTTATCCCACCATCCGTTTAATCAGAATTTATTGACAGACATAAAGGAATGAGTAAGACAACATTGCATAGCATCCCGCAAAACCAATAATTTCATTAAAAACGGATCTTGAATAACATCGTAATACTTCCTAAAGGCAAAGAGGATAGTACCGTCGGGGCATTGAATGAAGCCAATGCTACCACCGTAGTCCCATCTAACGAAGCCATCAAACCACAATGCTAATGTGTCCGAGGATGCCCTTGCTGAAGCTTGGGTAGGGATGGATGACAATGTGGCGGGTTTGTCTAAATCATCCTCATTACTAATGATGGGAATGGAGCGAAGCGGAACAGCATGGGTATCCCAGGTACCCACCTATCAAGTACTAGGGTGCCAAACATGATGTCATGCCAATGGGGTAGGCACAAAGCACCATCATCCCAAGTACTCAGGCATGGTAGATCTCGTAGTCATGCAGGGTACTCTATATACAAGGTTATTGAGTTTCTAAGTGTCAGCCATGTACATCAGCACATGGTAGACCAACCTGTCAAGACCCTACAAGTATGATGCCAACCCAAAGGAGTCAGTGTGCATCATCGAATCCCCAAGCACCTAGTGTCGAGCATGACGCCATGAAAGGGTGGTCATCATGAGGCATCCAACGTCAAGATGAAGTCAAGCGAGATGCCTCCAAGACTCAAGGTAGCTAAATGCCAAGTGAAGTTGTTAAGCTATCAAGATAGCAAGTGGTGTACAGGCAAGCAAGGCGGCGAAGGCGTCAAGCGGGTTACTTCAAGCACCAAACAGTGGAGAAACAGAGACAATTACATGGCAGTTATGAGTGATGGCTATAAATAGGAGAAACAAAAACGAAGAAGGGGTTCCACTACCAAACATTTGACACACAATGTCAAACTTTTATCTTTTCTCTGCAATTTAGCCATAGCCTTTAGTTTCTGAAGCTCTCACTGAACCTCCATAGGAGTCGGTGTAATTAACTTAGCTTGTTACAAAAAAACCATAAAAAAACATCAAACACCCTCGTTCGAACATTGTTTGGATAAGAGTGAACCGTTTTAGTTTCGTTGCTCAAGAATTCAAGGTGCATTAATTGAGTTCAAACACCAAGATTTTCCTCGCTGGAAAACAATAATATAATACGGTACAGACCGTACAATCATTCGTTTCATAAATTTTATAAATACTAAAGAAATATGTACTGAATTGATATTTGGACCTGATCAATCCGAACCGAATGCGTTGTTGGTCTAATACATTGGGTCTAAAATATTTGTCAATATTGAACAAGGATTCTCATAATTTTGGTCCGAACCAAATTGGACCTTAGTACATAATTACGTGCTGATAAAAGTCCTCTAGCACCAGTTCTCCTCTTATCAATACTCAATTTACCATCACAAGAAAACCCTAAAGAATGCCCAGTATTCACTCTCTCTTTGCTCGTTTCTATAAAGTATGTATGAACTTTTTTTCAAGTTTCAAATACTTGGCCTAACGGTGTGAAGGTTTTGGAGTTGCAGATCCTAATTTCGATTCAAGCGATGTCTGTTGGTGTTCCCGGAAGTATGAGGCTACTAAGAACAAAACTCCATTGGCAATAAAATTAATTGTAGGTTGCTTTCAGATTTAATAGGCTCCGCTATTATAAAATGGCATGTGGTTGATATTCTGGATAATAAAAAAAAGTTTCAAACTCTTAAAAAAGAAAAGCTCTCGACTTTACTCATCTGTAAGATAATTGTATTTGTTAAATGCATTTACGAAACGAATGATCTATTTAGATTATTATTGTGAACCGTTTTAGTTTCGTTGCTCAAGAAGTCAAGGTGCATTAATTGAGTTCAAACACCAAGATTTTCCTCGCTGGAAAACAATAATATAATACGGTACATCTGTAAGATAATTGTATTTGTTAAATGCATTTACAAAACAATAATATAAATACAAAAAGACAGTGGGTGAGAATCGGGCATCTCGCGTTTAATCTAATTCCTTTTCCTCGCTGTAAGATAATTGTATTTGTTAAATGCATTTACGTTAAGGTTTAACTATAATTATGTGGATTGTTATGTGTTATTCATTTTATAAATTGCGAATTGATATACTAAACGGAAATTTTTCTCACTCAATCATAATGTGATGTTATATTGGTTATTTTGGTTAATCAATTAACCAAACTGAATAAACTTTAGTTTGATTAATATAGTTGTTGTATTAGTTTGGAAAGTTTGGTTATAATATTGTATTTCATAATTAATAGAATTAGACTTATTTAATTTGATAATTACCATAATAACCATTTGAACACCCCTAACTTCAACCGTATTAAGCAAACCCTGTATGTAACCCAAAATCTCATCTCTTGTTCTTAGGTACTCTTATCTACTTTGTCAAACCACTAGTCTCATACGCAATTATATTCTTCCTTTTTCTTAGTCTCAAGCCCCCGCTTCCCTCTTTGATATATAGCGTTTCAGGCATACCAAACTTCCAACCAATGTATCTGCACAGGAATTAGAGGCGGAGCCAGGGTATTGGGGTTATCCCGGTACACCTCAATTTTTTGGATAACGATTATCCAACTCCCGGTAGTAATTTTTGTGTGGATAAAAAATATAAGTGATAGACTATGTGATTTAAATTAGGATATTAAGATTATTAGTAAACATGTTTTTCATTAGACCACAACTCATTTGTTATTGTATTTTAAACACTAGTTTAATAGTAAAAGTGATATCCCTTCTCCCAATTATTTTGAAAATCACAATTGAACCTGGTTACGGGTTATCCTTATTCCCTCCATTTTATCATATCCATTGGTTTACTTGCTTCTCAAAGTAATTGATTTTACCGATTGCAATTGTAGGTGTTGAAATAACATATTTAGTTTTGGGAAACTTTAAGAACAAGTTTCGAAATTGATTAAATGATCAGTTTGTGAATGATTGTAAAGTAAGATGGAGATATTTGTTGAGTCGTCCAGAGAGGAATACACGACTGCCGTGGGGATTGGTTCACGGTTTAAAGCTCGGTCAATGGCAACTTTTTTTTGTCATTAATTTCGTCTCCAAGGAAGGATTTATGACTCCCTCTCGACACCATATGTAATTGCTGTCTCTCATTGTTGGCCTATAAAAGTCAATTTACCAACATCAATTTTCATGGCCTCACCCACCTCTTCATGTACGATTGTCCACAGTGATCAAGGTTAAAAGCTATAAAATTTCTTTTGTTATCATAGGATATAATTAAGTACAAATGCAATATATTATTGAATGGTCCCGTAGCTCAGTTGGTTAGAGCGTTGGTCTTATGAGCCGAAGGTCGCGGGTTCGAGCCCCGCCGGGACCACGTAGTATTTATTTTTGGCTGGGGTTCGAGCCCCGCCGGGACCACGTAGTATTTATTTTTGCACATTTTCCGAACTTATCTGGTTTAACTTACTTCCGCGGGCCCATGGTCGGTGGGCTTTATTATATCACGAACAGAAGAAATTCCACGGCCCACGAATAAATTATACTTAACTCGCTAAATAACTACAATGATATCCATCTAATTAAACGACGGCCCGCACCGCACCTTCTCATGACTCGATACGCGCTAATCTTTATTCCATTAAATTAATTCCCCCAACTCTGTCCAACACACCCATACTATATTTCGATCATATCTAATAATAATATGTATTACTAAGCGATTATAATATCCTCCTCCATTTATACGTTATTTATTTCAGCAAACTATGACCAACCACCTGCATAATTTCCTTCTGTCTTCATCTTCGTTTCCATCTAATCATCCAAAATCCACAACCACCAAAAGCATTTGGAGCTGATTTCCTCACTGCATACCAATTATCTTTATAATTATTAGTTACAATAAATTTCTAATCCAAATATGGTTTCTTAACATTAGTCATAATCCTTTATTTGTCGACATGCATGGGTGGCAAACAAATCCCGAACCAGAAATGCTGAGGGCAATTTTGTAAATAAGAAATTTAATGCATCCACTCATTTATGTGCATATATATGCTTACGTAATCAAGGACACTTACATTAGTAGCATAACCGAATTCATCAGAAAATAATTACTGAAATCTATCAAATAAATAAATTAAAAATTAACTTCAATTCGAAAGTTTTTTGTTTGAAGTTTTACAGAACACAACTCCCTTTCAGCTTTTAACGAGAATGAGTTAGCTATTAAGACTCAGTGAAAGAGTTAGGTTGAAGTAAGAAGGAGTTTTAGCTTCTATTAAATTTGAAGTATAAATAAAATTATATGTATAATTCGTAATAAATTTAGAAAATAGGATAATCCGTAATACCTTAACCCCTTCTCCTCCAATTGTTATGGTTCAAGTCACCCCGCTCATTCATATTACTTTGACTCCACCACCGCTTAGCCTTCTTGTATATTCTAGAGAAAGGTAAAGCATAACCTTGTTCTAATCAATCAATAACACTTGACTAAAAAATTAGTTACACCTTTAACCCAATTTAAAAAAAAAATTAAGCCCAAATAACAATAGTAATGAAGCAAATTATAAATGAGGTAGGGGATGAGAGGTAGGAAGCTACTAATCACCCATTATTGTCAGTGGTTATGCTGTCACTGTTTAAGCTGACAAATATATATAATAATATATTGTTGAATTTCCGAGTCCGTGAAGGCAAACAAAATGAATTAGAAAAAAAAAATCCATCTGTCTTTATTTTGTTTAACAACATTTCCCCATTTTAACGTGAAATCGACTATGGTATGGTATGAAAGGAATGTTGGCGTTTTCCAAAGGAAAAATTAGCAAAAGAGAATAATGTGAAGATTTGAAAGAAATAAACAAATAATAAAAGAAAGGATTGGTGGAGGAGGGGAGCTTGGTTTATGCCAATTTGTCATTTCTCAATTCTCAACCAGACCCAACAACCGTTTATTTATTTAATCAATGATTTCATTTCGCTTTGGAAATATTAAAATGTCTATTTTTCCTGTCAAGTCCAAGACTTTCCTTCCCATCTACTGCAACTACTCTAGTGCTGAAGTCTTGTTCTTCATCCCTCCCCCAAATCTCTACCTTTTGGATTCCTTCATTTTCCCTCAAAGCTAGAGAAGGAGAAGAGTGTGCCACTTCCGCTACCTCGGCTTCACTGGTAATGCGGGCTTTCTCTCTCTTGCCTATGTTTACTCTTCTTGTTCTCCAGCATGCAATGTCGTTCCCCCCTTCGTGGACAATGCTAGGTAGTTGCTGAGATCCTTGAACTGGGTTTAATCATTAATGGGGGGATTCATGGTTTTTAGCAACCTGACCATCCATGGATGGATTTTGTTGAAATGGCTCTCCTATTAGATTTGCCATTGAAGAAGGAGAGAAGAGAAAGAATTGGTGAATGTCTGAGATTCATAATGCTGGTATTCTGATAAGGGCAATCTTTTTTTTTCAGATTTATGTTGAGCTGGGTGGCACATCAAACTTACAGCAGAAATGGGTTCTGGGAATTGGATTAAGACAATGATTAACTTGAAGAAGGGGAAGAATGGCCATTTGAAGCAATTGAAGGTAAATCTCATTTCCCTCCACGCTTCTCTTCATTCCACCGTGCTTTCGGGGAAGATAGAACGAATCAATGACACGATTATTGCTTCTGTTTAGGGTTCTTCATCACCGTCTGTGAAATCGAATGGCTTCAAATCGAAGTATCTGCAGAGCAAAGATTCAGCTGCTTCTCCCAATGGTCATGGCAATGAAGAATTGGCTGCCACTCGCATTCAAACTGCATTCCGTGCATATAGAGTATGTTAACCTGTGATCTTTAAATGGTGCCTTAAATTAAACACTTGCAGATGCTGGTGTGCATTAGTTAATAATTGTTGTTTCGTGTTTTGTTCCTTGTCGAGTCAGGCGAGGAAAGCCTTACGCCGCCTAAGAGGGACTGTGAAATTACAGTCCCGAACCAAGCATCAATCCATTCTGAAGCAAGCTAATTCCACATTGAATCACCTTCATCTATGGAGCAGCCTGCAGACCCAGATTAGAAATCGCCGCTTGTTTATGGTCACCGAAGGTCGTTCAAGGCAGAAGAAGTTGGAGAATCAACTTAAACTTGAGGCAAAACTTCATGACCTAGTGGTAAGATAGCATGCAATTGTTTTCCCCCCCCCCCCCCCTTGAATGGATCATAGAACTCCACTTTACAAGTCTTGTTCTTAACAGTTAATGTTTGATATGGATGGCAGGTGGAATGGAACAGTGGGGGTGATACAATGGAGGAGATTCTTGCAAGAGTACATCAAAGGGAAGAAGCAGCAGTGAAGCGGGAAAGGGCAATGGCATATGCCTTCTCTCACCAGGTATAGCACAAACTCTTATGAATGCATATCCTTATTTCAATGATCCCAATCCTTCTAAGTTTGCGAAAAAAGTTGCATTACAACGGTCTAAAACCGACCAATGAAATTTGCAGTGGAGGGCAAATTGTAACCAGAGCCTTGGTAGCTATGAGGTTGGGAAGTCTAACTGGGGATGGAGCTGGATTGACCGCTGGATCGCTGCTCGTCCATGGGAGAGCCGTGTCCCCTTGAAGTCCATCAGCCCAAAGAAAGCTCAGATCAACAAGCAGGCTAACAAGGGTAGTAAGAATGCAACTTCACCTGCAGCAAAAACGCCAACCATAGCTTCTAAACCACCAATGCCCAATGCAGCTCTAAAAGCCAGGAGGTTAACTTATCCGGTTACCGGGAAACAAGCCACAACACTCCATGGAAGCAGGAAAGGTGGAATGGGAGAGGCTAAAAAGGAGCAGCTGGTGCTGGCATCTTAGTGTGTTCTTGTTCTGGTCTCTTTCCGAGTGAAATTGCTTTCATTCTTTGTCGGGTTTTTTTCAATAGGTAAGTCTCATTTCTGATTATGGTTCTATGAGTGGTGTGCTATCCTTCTGCTTGTGAATGCGCGGTATATAACTGAGAAAGCCTTGAGAGTTCATCTGCTTCATCATTTTTCCTCCTCTTACCCTATACACCATGTCAAAACATGGGTTCACTTTGTATTTATATATACTGTAAATAGATGGAAACATTTTGTTTTGGGGGTGCAATGTTAAATGCATTTTTATTTGAAAGCTTATGCCATTGAAGACGGTTTCGACCGGTGAGGATGCAGTCATGCTGTGGCCATCAACAATATAGGGGAATGGTAAATGATGAAAAGAGAAAGGAAAATATGTAGCCGTGTCTGCTTATAAGTTTCTGGGACTCTCACTTGGATCATTGAACTTTAATACACTTGCAGCAGAAGTCTAGAATTACTAACAAACGAGTGTTTTTGTTCATTTTTGTGTGGTTGCTTCATCAAAATCAACTACATTAGCGTGAAATTAAGACAACCATCACCGATGTGGACCCTAATTAGCTTGATCAGTACCAAACTTGCTACTTTACCCAATTCAATCTACATTAGCTGAAACCACTCTGATATCTTCCTCCCTTTTGCTTTTCTGATGAAAGTCTTCTTCCCCTTAATTGATAGCTTATTAGAAGATCTTCCGTGGCCGAATGAGCTACTATTACAGCCGAGTGAAGTTTGGGCACCATGCTATGCCGACAATGCGACAACTTTTTAATAACTTACTGTGCAAAAGATTAGACCCGTAAACACCTGTCATCAAAGTAAGCCAACTATTTTTCCTTTTGTGAGTTATTAATGATGTTTCTTGTAGAATTTCGTGATAGCGAAAACAAAAGAACACGAACAACAGCGATTTACGTGGTTTCCCCATTTAGTGATGGACGAGACTACTCCACGGAGAACGAGAGCTCTCAGGATTATTATTATGATGAAGAGTTTGGCTTAGGGTTTGCAAAGAACCCGTCGGCCTAAATAAGAAAAGTCGTACCCTCACAACCGAGCTACACGGGTAGGCTAATTACAAAGTAATCCCTTAATTAAGCTAAGTGAACGAAATAAGGGATTACAACACGCCCCCTCAAGCGAAGAAATGAATGTCAAGAAGACCGAGCTTGACCAGCAAATGATTAAACTGATCAACACTGAGTCCCTTGGTGAAAAGATCGGCAGGCTGCTCAGACGTGGCCACCTTGCAAGGAACGACATCACCGGATTGCACGAGTTCCCGAATAAAGTAGCAGTCCATCTCCACATGCTTGGTACGCTCATGGAAGACCGGATTGGCAGTAATATGGAGAGCAGCTTGATTGTCGCAGTAAAGAGGCGTGGGAGAAGAGAGTTGAACACCCAGGTCACTGAGTAGCCAACGCAACCAGATGACTTCACTAACAGTACTGGCCATAGCCCGGTATTCAGCCTCTGCGGAAGAGCGAGCAACAACAAACTGTTTCTTAGTCCGCCAAGAAACAGGAGAGGAACCAAGAGTAATAAAATAGTCGGTAGTAGAACGCCTGGTGGTGGGGCAGCCAGCCCAATCAGCATCATAGTGTGCAGTTAAGGAGAGATCACCAGCAACCGGGAGAAAAAGGCCACGACTAGGGGAGACCTTGAGATAGCGAAGGACACGGACGGCAGCGTCAACGTGTGCCTGAGTAGGAGACTGAACAACCTGACCGAGCATATTAACTCCATATGTGATATCCAGACGAGTAACAGTGAGGTAGAGAAGCCGACCAACCAGGCGCTGGTAAGAAGCCGAATCCTGAGTGGGAGAGGACGGATCGCGGCCAAGATGATGGTTGGGAGTAATGGGAGTGGGACTGGGACGACTAGCAGTAAGGCCAGCCTCTTCCAGAATGTCGAGAACATATTTCCGCTGATTCAGGACCATGCCACCAGGAGAACGAGCAACCTCGATGCCGAGAAAGTACTTCAAAGGACCCAAATCTTTGATGGTGAAGCGGTCATGCAGAAAAGCCTTGACCCGCTGGATAAAAGTCATATCATTCCCAGTGAGAATGACGTCATCCACATAAATAAGAGCAGCAACAAAGGTAGAGCCGCGTGAACAAGGAGTGATCTGCCCGAATCTGAGTAAACTGCAAGCCGAGTAGGGCACTGGTGAATTTTTTATACCAGTTGGGAGAGGCTTGCTTAAGACCATAGATGGATTTGCGAAGACGACACACTCTAGTATCGCTGGGACTGGCTAGGAATCTGCATATAGACTTCTTCCTCTAAGTCACCATGGAGGAAGTCATTGTTGACGTCGAGCTGATGAATGATCCACCCCTGCTTGACAACAACAGACAGCAAACACCGGACGGTGACAAGTTTGGCGACAGGAGCGAAGGTGTCATGGTAATCGACGCCTTCGATCTGGGTGAAGCCCTTGGCCACAAAACGAGCCTTAAAACGCTCTACTGAACCGTCGGGTTTGAACTTGACTTTGTAAACCCATTTAGAAGCAATAGCACGCTTGCCAGGGGGCAGAGCACAAAGAGTCCACGTACCATTAGCCGTGAGAGCCGTAAACTCACCCTGCATGGAGTCCCGCCAATGCTTATAGCGAACGGCCTGATGATAGAAGCGCGGTTCCTCAACAGCACTGACGGCAGCGACGAAAGCATGATGCGCCTGAGAGAGACAGCGATAAGTAAGATAGTCTTCAATGGGATAGTCAACGGAAGCATTGTGAGCACGGCCAGGAAGATCAACGTCATAACCTGCCAGCCGAGTGGAGATTTGGCGCTGGCGGTCGCTACGACGGGGTGGTGGAGGAGAGGACTCAACTGGGGTGATCGGCTGGGAGGTAGACGCTGTTGTGGGAGGAGACTGCGGCGGCGAAGTGGAGGGGAAGGTAGCTGTGGAGGGAGCGGGTGGCGTACATGTCTCGACCGGGATGCGAGGAGGTCGAAGAGGCGTCTGAAATGGAGAAGGTGCATGGGCAGGAGCAACGTTGGGCATGGCAGTGTGGGGAACAACAGGCCGAGTGGAAGGCTCGGTGTCATCATCATCACAAATGAGAGGAGTAAAACCCAGGGGAAGAGAAGGAGAGGTACCTGCTGATGATGGAGTGGGAACTGAAGAGGTGTGGTAAGGGAACACCGATTCCAAGAATTCAACATCACGAGATGTATAAATCTTCTTAGTCGCCAAGTCGTAAACGCGATATCCACGCTGGCCAGATGGATAACCAACAAAAATTCCAGCTCGACCACGGTCACTAAACTTGTCCAAACCATGATGATTATCCCAAGCATAAACAAGGCACCCAAAACTGCGAAGGTGGTGATAAGAGGGATCTTTGTCGAAAAGTAACTGGTAAGGAGACCGATTGCCAATGGGTGACAAGGGCATGCGATTGAGGAGATACGCTGCAGTAAGAATGCACTCACCCCAAAACTGAATAGGTAAATTAGCATGGAACCGGAGAGCCCTAGCTGTCTCCAAAAGATGTCGGTGTTTACGTTCCACAACTCCGTTCTGCTGAGGAATGTCAGTGCAGGAAGTCTGAAGAGTAATCCCAGCCTCCTCATAATAATCTTTCAACGTAGAAGTAGCAAATTCAGGGCCATTATCAGCCTGAATACGCTGAACCTGCTTCCCAAACTGCATGGTGACCATACGACAAAGTATAATAGATACCGTGCAACCTCAGACTTGAATTTTAATAGAAAACCCCAAACTGCCCGACTATAATCGTCAACAATTGTCAAAAAATAACGACCACCAGTATGAGAAGGGACATGATAACCGCCCCAGATGTCTAGGTGAATAAGCTCAAAACAGGATTGAGTTTTAATAGAACTATGCTCAAAAGAGTCAAGAGCTTGCTTGGCCCGGAGACAGGAAGAACACGGGTCCTGCGGCTGCACAAGAGGACTCGGAATCAAATGCTGCAAAAGAGTAAGTCGGCCCGCAGAAGGATGCCCCAGACGGGCGTGCCAGAGAGCTGAACTGTCCACTGCTTGACGAACCGAATGAGCCACCGGATGTTTGCCATCAAACAATTGGAGATAGTACAGCCCATCAACATGCTTACCCATCCCAATCAGCTTCTTGGAGGGTAAGTCCTGAATAACACAGAAATTACTCATAAAAACCAAAGCCACTGGAAGATCAGCAGTCAGTCGACTAACAGAGAGTAAATTGCACTAGAATGCTGGAACGTGAAGAACTCACTGCAAAGTCAGGTCATGTGATAATTTTGTTGAACCAATATGATGTACTGAAACACCAGTTCCATTGGGGATGCGAACCTGTAAGGCCATGACGATTGAGGAGAGAAACTCGTACCTGCCATATTAGAGACCAGGTCGATGCCATGAAGATCAGAGGACGAGGAATCGCCGTTGAGGAATGTCTTCAGCTGCGCGACCTGAGCATGAGTGAGGCCAGGGATGAGAGACGACTCGGCATCAATTGCTGCCGCCTGGGGACGCGTGCGAGGACCTCGATCAGGGCGACGCCGCTGTGGCTGATCATCCGCGCTGGGTGTACGAGGAGGGTAACCAATGATTTTATAACATGTCTCCCGGAAGTGGCCAGACTTCTGACAATGGGTGCAAACTGGCCGGCCATCAGCATCGCGAGGGCGCCCGTCGGGAATGCGCTCACCTGAACGCGGAGGTCGATCGAGACGCTTGTCCCCTTGATCTTGGAAGGCCGCGGCATCGAGTCGAGGACGCCTGCTGCTGGAAAGAAGGCGCTGGTGTTCATCGTTCATCACCAGATGATAAGCTTAAGCTAAGCTAGGAATAGGCTTCATGACCAAAATCTGAGTTTTCACAGTAGCAAAGGCATCATCTAAACCCATTAAAAAGTCAAATAAACGTTCACTTTCCTTGGTTTCCCGTTGACGGCGCTTGACATCGCAGGTACACCCGCCACAGGAACATTCAAGAGAGGGCGCGATAGAGGCGATTTCGTCCCAAGAGCTGCGAAGCTTTGTGTAAAAGGAGGCTACCGAAGACTTCTCTTGCTGGAGAGAAAGAATAGACTGCCGAAACTCATATGTCGATCAGAGATGATTGTCAGGTTCGTTCTCCTGGTGACGTAGAGCTGAATTTGCTAGAAAAACCATCCACAGCTATCGGCATTCTCTCCCTCAACAATGGCCAAGGCTAAAGGAAAGACTTATTTGTTTGCATCTGCCCCACTGGCAATTAGGAGAGTGCCCTTGTAGTTGTCGGTAAGGAATGTGTCGTCCACTTGGATGACAGGGACACAAAAGCCAAAACCATCAATAGATGTCTTGAATGCCCAAAAAAGACGTTTGAAATGGTGTTTGTTACCAGGCTCTGGCGACTGTATCTCTTCATCTTGGTATCGAGGGGATAAAA